TGAAGTTAAATGAAAGAACATAATAACTGGAAATATATATAATTGAAACACTGAAATGATTAGAAATCTTCAAATTTATAAAAATTTTTGCAAAAATTGCCAAAAACGTGAATTTAGCCTTTGGCAAAAGTTATGTATATACATCATATAATACTAATTAATGAGATATATAATAAAAGATTATTTTACAACAACAAATGTTAATAAAGTATACAAGCTACACACCAAAAAGTACACATGAAATATATAAAATACATGAAATACAATTATATAAATATATAATAAAACATTTATACATAAATGTATACATAGTGTATTATATATAATAATAAACAAAAATTTTATACACAATAATATATCCATCATGTATATTATATACAATAATAATATAAGATAATTGTAAAATGTGTACTAAAATATATAATATATATGAGGTATATAACGTGATATAGTATTATGTAGAGACACTAAAATGAACATCTAGGAATTTATTCAAACAAATTTCAATTTACAGCGCCATATAATCTATTCATAACAATGCAAATTATATACAGGTTACTAGATTACATTGGTTACTAGATTCTAGTAACTACCTTAGAAGTTGCTTAAAGCACGTTTCATTCACTTCCACGTGCAATGGAAATATTTTCCTACATTTCTCGCAGTTCTCTCTCGACATGCCATATTTATGAGCATTCACAGTGATAATGAATTAATCATATGTTCTCATTAGATTCAGAAGATAATCTATTATGTCTAAAATCGATGATGTAATGGTATTTAATACCACTAAGTACCGCTATCTTTTATCTGGTAGTCGCTATTCAGTCAGTTTAAAAGTCACTTTAATACAGGGAGATTCAAAATTGGTGAACTTTTATATTTTATTTTATATAATATTCTTTATGAATTATGAGTATACTTATTTCTCATCAAAATACGGTTCTCATTCTTCAAAGCTACTTTTATTGTATTTTATTGTATTATTAATTTTGCAGGTATTATATTAATATTGCTTATATTTTAATTAAAAAATTGTATCGATAAGTCAAAGAATTATTTTTTTTTTTTTGTGTGAAGAGTATTGTTATAAAAATTGTTATGTATTTTTGTTACCTTCTCAAATGTTCCAAAAATATTTTTTTATATATTTTATTAATATTAGCAATGGCTCTATCTTTTTACAAAATTTTTTAGATTTATTATTTAATTTTAGAATTTTGGAAGTTTAATTTTGGAATGTTTTAGATTTATTAATTTTTTAACACAAATATCTGAAAATTAATCCAAATAGATTTCCATATCCACTTTTATGTGATCATTGTACAAATAAAACGTTATTAAAATAAACTTTATTTTGATAATGGATTTGATTAGATCAAATAAGATAATGAAGAAATCTTTAATAGTTACATGAGTATTAACAATAAAGTATAATCATTTGGATACTTTTAATGTGCAATTAATGCAATTAATCATTGAAACAACCTAGAATCTTAGTGAAATAATTTTACATAAACAATAGATTATTAACATCAAATTTCAAAAATAAAAAAAAAAACAAACAAATTTTCCAATTTTTTAGAACAGAAGAAAAAAAAAAAAAAAAGAGTAGAGAAGAAACATCAAAAATGTGATCCAAAAAGCAGCAATCTTCGAACCTAATTTATATTCCAAAGAAATAATCAAAAACTGGACGACATTCCATAAAATTTACTATTTCCCTAAAAAATACTCAACTCGTATTATTCTATTAAAAATTACGAGAAAAGGAATTACACGGTATAAAGGTTATCACGAATATTTCCCCAGGATAAGAAAAAGAAAGGAAAAGGGAATGAGAAGAATTCGCGGTCGAAATGTGGCATTTTTCGGCGTAGTTTATCTCTTCCGCTCCTTGCCATCAGGAGACGTGTCTTGGTAGACGACACGACCCGGCAATGGATTACGAGATACGGTACAGTAATTACCGCGAATTGTCAGCGTTGTCGGAGCTGAATGTTGGCCCATTACAAATGTAATTGCATAACTCGCAGCAGCGTCAGACTTTGTGGACGAGCAGAGTGCTAAGTATCCTCTTCCTGAAAGATTCTATTTCTCTCCTCTTTTCTTTCTCTTTTTCTGTTATTTTTCATTATCTTTTTAATTTCGTGCAGGTAAGTATGCAGATAAATGCGGAGAAGAAACGAAGAGCCATAGAAAAATAGGAGAAGTTGAGAAAACTGGAGAAACATGGGACAATAGAAACTTGGGAAATTGAAAAATATCGGGTTGAGAAAATTTGGGAAATTTTTAGTGAAGATGGAAGAACAGAAGATACTTGGAAAAATTAGAGAATGCAGGGAATTGGAGAATAAGACGTTGAGGAAAATTGAAGACATTGAACAAATTTGGGAAATTGGAAATGGAAAAGTGAGAAAATTTGAGAAATTGGATGTAGAAAAAAAAATTGGAAAAATTTAGAAAATTAAAAAATAAAATGATGAGAGAATTTGGGAAATTTTCAATGAAGATAGAACAATGACGATATTTGGAAGAATTAAAAAGTGCATGAAATTAGAAAAAAAAGATATTGAGAAACATTTAAGATATTGAAGAATGGATTTTCCCATATTGGGAAAATTGGAAAATGAGTCATTTGGAAAAACTTGGAAAATTGGAAAATGGAGGAATGAAAATATTTAGGAAATTATAAATGTAAGAGTGAGAAAATTTGGGAAATTAGAAAATTGGATATTGAAAAAAAGAATTGGAAAAGTTTGGAAAATTAAAAAATAAAGTAAGAAACTTTGGGAAATTTTCAATGATGGTGGGTCATTGATATATTTGGAAAAGTTAGAAAATCCAAGAAATTGAGGAAAATTTAAGACACTGCAAAATAGAACAGTGGAAAAATTTGGGAAATTGGAAAATTAGATGTTAGAAAATTTGTGAAATTGTAGAATGAGTCATTTAGGAAATTTTAAATGGAAAAATGTGAAAATTTGGGAAATTAAAAAATTGGATATTAAGAAAAAAAGAATTGAAGCAGTTTGGAAAATTAGAAAATAAAATGAGAAAATCTAGAATACTAAGATAAACAGAAAAAGCACCAAAAAGATTTAAAAAAAATATGCGAATATTGGAAAAAATGTACTAAAATAGGTAAAAATAAATAGAGATAGAAAAAACATATAAAATCCGTAAAATAGATGGAAAATCTAAGATATCCAGATTTTCCATGCGGTATGTGGCGTATACACACTCGTGACGATTGAATTAGTCGCACTAGGAATGTGTCTGATCGCTCGCAGCGCGATAATTTTCTAAAATTTTCTGTATCGAATCAAGACGATAAATGGAACGATAATTTGATCTAGAACGAACGACGTAGGAAGGAAAGAAATCGTCACGTGAATGCCAAGTGGATGGATTTTATGAAACATTGCGTGTGGTATAATATCATGCTCAGAGAGGAATATAATTAAAGCAATAAAAAATTCCGAAGCTTTTGACTTTTCCAAAATTAAATTCAACATAAAACAATTATTTAATATGAAAAGAAGAAATAATTAAAATTCCATTTTACATGTTCTACTTCTTCAAATGACTCTGATTTCCAAGTATAAAGTCATTTATAGCCTATTGTATTTGTAACGTGTTGGAAAAGATTTTAGTAAAGTTAATAAAATTTTGCTTCTGTAATGCAGTCAAGATTTATAGTTAGATATATTTAAGAGATAATTAAAAAATTTTCTTTTTGGTATATAGGGAAAGTTCACTGTATTATTCATATAGGAATAACGCAATAGCAAAAGTATTGAGCGTTTTGAGATGTTAACCCTTTGCACTCGACAATTTTTTAGCTAAAGAAGAGTAGGAGTTCGAAGCTTTTTTGCTATAAAGTCGATGATATTTTTTTTAGCAGGAATAGTACAATAATTGACACGTAGAATTAATTAAATGAATAATTTAATAATAAAAGAAAATACGTAAGTTACTTGAATTTATATTTCTCAGATTATTTTTATAATTGAAATGTTTTCTATGTAACATAAGTATGTAACATAAGTATGATATGATACAGAATGTACTTGGTACATATTTGTATAGCATATACGATATACAAATTGTACAAACAACAAATTACATCATAATTTGATTCTTCCATCATGAGTGGTGTACATATATTTCTTTTTATTCTCATCCATAGCAATTTCATAATGAGTCTATAAAATTGCTGGAACGTGTGGTTAATTTTTGCAAAAAATATACAAGCAGAGTTAAACGAGGAAGAAGTAAACGTAACATAATGTTACAGAACGTTTTTTACTGTTTCTAAACTAGCCACGCATAATCATTTTTTCTGCAATTTTTTATTCGCCTAATCCGCGATTATGTTGATGAAGTTCACGCTTTACCGCATTTTAAATTACCTTCTATCGTGGAATTTTCTTTCTATTGTCTTCCTTTATGAGTAAAGGATTATATTAATAGATTATCAGTAATTATGGTAATCTATAATTTAGTTATAAAATATAGTAGTATATAAAACATATGCTTTTTAATATTCATTGCTAATTTCCGATTTTCTTTGTTAAGTATTGTTATTGGTTTTACAATTACGAGAAACCCTAGAATTTTTAGTAAGATTTATTCAAGTAATTGTAATTAAAAATAAAATACAATTTGTTTATTATTTTTTAAATCGAAGAAGCAAGTATTTGCGTACATCTGATTTATTGGATTCCCTTTAATTTCCTAGTTAATGTTATGTATGTGTTTATAGATATATCAAATTTTGAAATTTTTTCATAATGTTCTCTGTATTTTGATCTCCCAAGTGGGTAAAATAAATGAAATGCAAGAAATAGTTTCATGAAAATAATAATATAGACCTTTCTTTAATCCTTATTTAACTTTTATTATTACCATTTCTTAATAATTTTCTAATACTCATTGTTAAATAATATATAATGTTTCTAATATTATAATTCTAAATGAATCTATGTAACATGTCATTAATAATATAAATCTGAATAATTATAAATAATATAATATTAGTAATATCACAATATTCAAGTAAACTTAAATAAAGTAACATAAAAAATATATAATTTTAATTTAAAAAATTAAAAGTGAATATCAAATGTTTGCTTTATTTTTTTTGCAAAACTTGATTTACTTGGTTTACTTGGTTTACTTGGTTTACTTGGTTTACTTGGTTTACTTGGTTTACTTGGTTTACTTGGTTTACTTGGTTTACTTGGTTTACTTGGTTTACTTGGTTTACTTGGTTTACTTGGTTTACTTGGTTTACTTGGTTTACTTGGTTTACTTGGTTTACTTGGTTTACTTGGTTTACTTGGTTTACTTGGTTTACTTGGTTTACTTGGTTTACTTGGTTTACTTGGTTTACTTGGTTTACTTGGTTTACTTGGTTTATTTTATTTTGTGGCTTATCTCAATAGCTGGAAACACCCTATATTTTCTATGGAAGATGAACAGTTGTCGATAAATTTCACGTAAACGTCGTTACGTGTTTCTTGACATTTTGTTTTCCATTACGCTGTTTAATTGCTCAGCAGTCTCGTTTAAACAATTATCATGATCACGTTGAATCATCACGTCACCATTGTGTTTCCTAACGACGTGCTTACGATTCATCGTAAATACTCTCCTGTTTGCGTTATTTTACGTTCGCACCGGCGTGTGCTTTTGTCGGTAATCACAAATTAAACAGTCTGAGAGAAAATGTCAAGGAACGTGAAAAAGAATGCTTGGAATTTTATGGCAAAACATTTCACCATTTATTTTAAATTATTGACGAGATGTAGTGCCTCGTAAAATATTGACGTTTTAATATTTTTGGAATAATTGATATTTCAAAAATTACCATTTTTCATTCGAGTGGAATAATCAAAAATATTCTACAATTATAATACAGAATTATTTTACCAAAATTCGTCGAAAGTTCCCAAATTTTTTTGCTATCTACTCAGCAGATGATTATCAAAGTTACGAAAAAGTTAGGATTTTAGAAAATTCAAATATACTCGCTTTTACATAAATTCGGACAATAAAGTAGGTCGTCATCATCTCTATAATAGAAATAAAGGAAATTAGTGTAATTTGACAGAAATTTACACCCCATTCTTCACCCCTTTTCTGAAATCACCCCTTAAACCACACTTTCAATAGTATGCAAAAGAAAGTTTGAAGTAGCATGTATATATGTGAATATCTGTAACTTTTATACTAATTATAGTATAATAACAAAAGTAATTATATTTATGTAAAATTTACTTTTATAGTAATTATAGTACACTAAATATTGTATAATAATAAAAGCAATTGCAATTATATAATATCTACTTTTATAGTAATTCAAGTATACTAAATATAGTATAATAATAAAGGCAATTATATTTATGTAAAATCTACTTTTACATTAATTATAGTATAATAATAAAATTAATTACAGTTATATAAAATTTGTTTTTATATTAATTATAGTATAATAATAAAAGTAATCGTATTTACATACAATTTATTTTTCCACTAATAATAGTGGAATGATGACGCTAAAAGTAATTATATTTATGTAAAATTCATTTCCGATGTAAAGTATAATTCCTCTTTGCAAAATTATGGTGTTCCCTGGTACTGCCTAACATTTAAACTTTCTTTTGTCCGCCATTGTGCACGTAATAGTCCTAAATGATTAAAATGTCGATGGTCGTTCTGAATGGCGATTCAGCTTAGCAGGAACATTTATGCCAAAGCAAGGACGAGTTTTTGTAACCGTTCACGACCCTAATGTGACGCATCGAGGTTCGTAAAGACGAGCAACGCTCAAGTAGTACGGAAGCGTTGGGTCTCAGCAACCCGGGACACGTTTTCTATTCAAGGCTTGGCACGCGTTACATATGGGGGGTCACGAGACGTGTATGGTGTTCTCATACTGATTTCAGCTCCTTGACACGGTCAACTTGATCGAATAAGAGTTCAAGCCGGAATTCGAACGAATTCAAAGGCATTGAAACGAGAATAACAATTAAGGGGATACTGTTGCAATTCCTCTTAGAAAAATCGATTCTTTTTTTTTTACGTTTTCTCAAAGCGCATGCTTTCGAAAATGTCTGAGTAAAAGGATTTGCTCGAATTCATAAAATTAGCGAAGTTATAGGGGTTTAAAGTGTGACGTACAGGCATTGTACAATGGGTAACGAAAACTTTACGCGTTTTTCTCGAAATCATATTTTTCGAAATGGTTGATGGGATATCTCGCGTTTGAGTTGACCGATTGACTCGAAATTTGGTGAAGATGTTCACAGGATGTACCTTTATCGCGTGCACCATGGATTTTAAAATTTGATGCTTTTTTCTATTTTTGTTTGCCACCCAAAGACGAAAGCAAGCGGAAAATCGATATTTAAACTTCAAAATGCTGCCATTTTTTTTTAATTTCGAAATTTCGCTGTTTTGGTCGTTCATGCTATAGCCGTATTTATACTAATTGAGATGCTTTTTGGTTTTTTCATTTTGGATAATCAGATGCTCTGGAATCACGTCAGTCATTCGGGCCCGTTTTTAAAAACATGATTTACCTTAAGGCTATGTAATATCCACAATTTTCATTAATTTCATTACAAAAAAATTGTAAATATTCTCTAAGTATAAGTAAACCTGACTGCAAAAACTGCATGAAAATATGTATCATGGTTTCCTTAAAAAAAATTTCCAAAAAGTCGACTTTTATAGGCCGGATTACAATTTCCCTTAATGGATGATGATAATTTTACATAATTATTTTATGTTAATAAATATGCAGATATTTTGATTTTATTTTTGGCTTATAGTCTGCAGGAAACGTTAATTTTAATTTTTAGGCTTGACAAATGTTTATAATTTTATGGACTTCTTTCATGCAAATAAATGTATAAATATGAATATAATATATTTCATATAATTATTTTAATTTTAGTTTTACTTTTAGCAATTTCTTCCACCATGTGGAGAAATTCAAAATAATTTAATTTGTTAGATGTAACTGACACATGGTTGAAAATTTCTTTAAGCAGAAAATAAAAAATTTGATTTTATTGTAAAATTTAACTTAACTGATTTATTAATTAAAAAATGAATACCTGGTGGTAATTAATCCTGTGTATTTTAACATAAGGTAATTTTAATACAAGTTGCTTTTAATGTAAATATAAGGATGTATTAGAAAGCTTGAGGAAATGAATAATTACGTGAAGAATATGGGAAAAATTTTATCATGTAATAAGACAATTCATTCAATTCATTCTCCTCAGTTATGTATAGTATAGTCAAATACTAAATTAAATAAATTTTGTTGTATTGTATATTTTAAAAATTCGCCTTTTTAAATTTTTAACATTCGTTATCGCCATTAGCAATTAATTAATAGTTAATGCTCTATAACATAACCTTAAATCTTAAAATAAATTCAAATCAAGATCGATTAAAATCAATGGAAACTCGAAATATAACAAGTCGATGATAATAATGAATTTATTTATATCTTTTGAATGGTTATCGTAGTGATCACATCAAGAATTTATAATTAATGTTGTACAACATAACCTCAAATTTCAGCAACATTGTAGACCTAGATTACATAACCTTAAAATTCTCAATACGTTTTATTCGTGCCAACAGCAAGACTACAAGTATATATATACTATAATCGATAAATTACTTACTTGAATGCAACTTCTAACTGATCACCAGCCACGAATCGGTAATTAATGACCCACGACCTAACCTCAAATTGCAACAACATCGTAAATTTAGATTATATAAGCCTAACATTCTTAACACGTCTTATTCGTGCTAAGCTTCTACCATATTTCGAAATTAATGATTACTTTCAAGACACCCGGTACGTATATTCTAATTGACATACTCCGATTTGAAAAAACGAAAAGAGATATACAAAAAACTCGTCTGGGACATCGATTCAGAAAGAATTGTATTGGACCACACACACGTGAGGATGTATGTATGCCGTCATAAATCTCCGCTATTATCCATTTTATCCGATTATGAGCGTGGCGCTGCGAACGCGCAAAAACGACAGTAAAAATGGCGTAGCGTGACAGAAACGATCTACATCGATGAATCCCTGTTTACTGCGATCATTCGATCCTCTTTCAAGAAATAAAGTTGTCCAGAAAAAGATATTTCAATAAAAAGATTATCGAAAGGTATACTGAAAATTAACTGAAGAAAGTATAGTAATATCTATTGAATAGTACTATTCAATATTAGTACTATACCCTACTATATTCTACATTACCATTCTTCTTCTTTTAATATTATACTATACTATACTATACTATATTATATTATACCATACTATATTATACTATAATACTATACTGTACTATAATACAATACTATACTATAGTACTAAACTGTACAATAATACTATACTATACTATGCTGTAATACTATACTACAATACAATACTATATTATAGTACTATACTGTATAATAATACTATATCATACTACACTATAAGTATAGTAATGTATTGAGAAATCTTCGTCTTGAAAGCAAAAAGTAAAAAGTATCGAACAGAACCGTGATATTTGCTAAGATCGTGAAAATTTGAAATATATTTTTCTCCGAAATGAGATGGTCGAAATTTTTATTTTTCGTTTAACATAGCTCCGAAGAAAATTCGATATCCTAAATTGGTAATAATACAACAACAAAAAAGTATAATAGAGGGAGAAAAAAATAAAATTTCAAAAAATTCGAAATTGTACTCCAAAAAAATTCTGTCCCTCCCAAAATTTTAGAAATGACTCCGAAACAAACTCGATATCCCAAATTGGTAATAATGCAAAAAATAATAAAAAAAAAGAAAATTTGGACAAATTCGAAATTTTGTGCAAGAAAAATTCTATCTCTTTTAAAATCTCAGAAATAGCTCCAATACAAATTCAACATCCCAAATTAATAATGCACAAAAAGAAGAAAAATAATAAAGAGAGAGAGAGAGAGAGAGAGAGAGAGAGAGAGAGAAAATAAAATAAAAGATGAGTAGGTCGACGTATCACGAATTTGAAGCAATTTAACCCAATCCCTAACAATCACCATTACGACATATTATCTTATTGTCACGTGAAAATGGAATAATGAAGACGCGTGTAAAAAATATGGCGCACGTGTATCGTAATCAACGGCACGAGTATCGATTCCCACTTTCCAGTAACCGAAACAATCGGGCTGATCGTGTTGTCCTTCCATATTTCACCTTATTGTTCGCAATTTCTGCGAACGTGTCAAATACTTCGTTCCGAAGAGAAAAATTATTTTTGTATCGACCTTCCATTCACTCTAACTCCAGCCGTGAAACGCGAGTGTTCCAAGCGGCGTTTTAGGTTATGTTTTCTAACGCGGAACAGACGATAAGTTGTAAAACGATTCCTCGAGTTGCGTAATTCTGATCCAGTTACTGTTACACTTCTGACAAGTGTCACTATTCGAATGTGGTGAGTATTCAATTGTATCGGTGTAATCCGTCGAACAAACATAGGTTAGGTTAGGTTTGTGGACGTGTCTTCGGCGACTCGTCAGACCTGTTTGAGACAGTGTTGTAGACTGGTTTTCGGATTTCAGGTAAAATG